CCAATCTAGCGCCTTTAAGCTCCGCCATCTCCTCCAGCTTTGTCGACATCGCCGACCGCTTCAGGTTTTATTTTTTCTGTTTTTAATTTTTTTTATTTTATGTATTTTTCAGTAACATCATCATGTTCAAGTAAGAATCTTTGATCACTCTCTTCGGTAGCATCATCATGTTCAAGTAAGAATCTTGGGTAAATTTTTCTGATTTGACTAAAATGTTTTTAGCTTAAGCATATATTTGGATGTAACCTCTTTGTCATCTGAAAATTCTGTTTTTTCAGTTATATTTTGAGGTAGAAAGTAGAAAATTAGAAGTTAATATTTGAATAAATTGAAAATGTAGTATTGCACAGAAACCCTTTGTCAGTTGCAACAATTTATCATTTTGTTAATATTGAGGTTGAAAGTTGAAAATTTGAATAATGCCTGGAATAAGTTGAAGCCTAGAACTTTAAGCTAAGTGCTATCAATAAATTAGATTTGATTTTATTTATTTTTGGAAAAAAGGAAAATTTGGAGGAATTATTTACGTGTATGCGATTAAATGAAAGACTGATTTTGATAAATTTATGTTCAAAGACTCGAAGAGATTGAATCTCTTTGATCTGTCTTGCTATCATTTTCTACTTTGTGTTAATGCGTTGGTAATCATGGTCTTTTATGTAGCTTTTTGTGGTGTTTGACTTTTATGGAAAAAAACCTTTATAAGAATTGTATGAGTAAAGTAGATATTTGCTTTCTCAAATCTGGCTAATTCATATTAGCTTACAAGGAAGTCGTGCTATGTTCTTTATGATTGCTAGAAATCAATTGCATAATAAGCTAATTTGGTGTACTGTAATAAGAACTTCTAAATTTATCATTAGTTTCTAATTGATTAAGGATTCTTAATTTTCTATCCTAATTGTATTATTTTCATCTCCTCACATAGATAATGGATGAAGCATGGATCAAATTTCAACATGCATGCAATTGTGCAATTGGGTATGTTCTTAAGACAAAATAGAAAGAGATTAAATAGTGAACGACAAGAGCCTGGAGAAGTAACTGATATGGTGCGAAAAATATTATCACAAAGGGTTGTATGTAGGGGAATGATCCGGATGAATCCACCGGTTTTTCATCAATTATGTGGAATATTAGAGAGAGATGACGGGCTTAAACGAACTCAAAGAGTTACTATTTTTACCAATTATGTGGAATATTAGAGAGGGATGACAGGCTTAAATGAACTCAAAGTTACTACTGAGGAACAAATTGCAAAATTTTTGTATATATTGGGACATAATATAACTACTCGTGAGGTTAGTAAGATATTTGGTCGATCTGAAGAGAGTGTGAGTCGTCATTTTCATATTGTTCTAAGAGCTATGATAGAGTTGGAAGAGATATTTTAGTACAACTCAATAGATCACAAATTCCTCCAGATATACTCAATAATCCAAATTTTGATCCATATTTCAAGGTGATGATAAATTCCACAATTTCTTATCTTTGTGTAGGTTGTTAAAATTAGAATTTAACTAATTAATTCCAATATTGTCAGCATTGTGTTGGAGCAATAGATGGAACACACATCCGAGTAATTAATCCCTATATTGTCAGGATTGTGTTGGAGCAATAGATGGAACATACATCCGAATAAATGTTTCTCCTACTGACGCTCCTATATATCGTGGTAGGAAAGACCGTCCGATACAAACTGTATTGGCTGCCTACACCTTTGACTTGAAATTCACTTATGTCTTACCTAGGTGAGCAAGCATTGCATCTGATTCCAGAATTTAAAAAAAATGCTTTACAACGACAATTTCCCCTTAAAGTCCCTCAAGGTAATTATTAATTCTAAATAAGCTACTAAGGACAATGAAACTTTTTTCCATGATAAGGTACTAATGACAGAAACTTTTTTTAGGAAAATATTATCTCGCTGATGGCGGATACATATTAAGAAGTGGAATAGTTCTACCCTATAGAGGGGGGAACACTACCATTCGAATGAGTATTCAAGAAATCCACCAAGGACTCAACATGAGCTATTTAACCTAAGATATGCGACGCTTCGCAATACCATTGAAAGAGTATTTGGCGTACTAAATAAAAGATTTCCCATCATAGCGAGCTCAATTGAACCGAATTATAGTGTTAAAACAAAAAATCAAATCATTTTAGCTTGTTATATTTTGCACAATTTTTCAAAGGGTACCGACCCAGATGATGATTTTCCTGAAGGGAAAGAAGAGGTGATAATGACAACCCATGGATGAAGATAATGTGAACGATGATGAAGATGTTCATAAAGGGGAGTGTTTAAGAGATTTCATTACAACTTCTATGTGGCAAGATTATAATGCATGACTAATGTAATAGATATTTTGTGTTGTAATCTCTATTAGTCATGAACTTGATAATTGTTAGACTAATGTTTCTTATTTGTGTTGTGTTTGACGATTGTAAGACTTGTTTTCTATTTATATTGTACTTAATGAATGTAAGACTAAAGTCCGTTAATACTTTATTTTTGTTGCATGGCTGGACTTATTTGTCTTTCGTGATAATAATATAATCTATCATTTAAATTTTTTCAAAGATTTGTGAATAATTTTCTTGTATATTTGCTAACATTATTGTGTAAATAGGAATGTTCTTGTATATTTTCTAACATTATTGTGTAAATTAGGAATGTAAAAAAGAAGCTCTATAGATGATGATTCTTCTAGAGGAAGAAATCATCTCTCTTTGGTGTGGAATTTTGCTATAGACGAGAAGTTAATTGAAACTCTTTTGCATCAAGATGTGATTGGAAACCGAATCAATACCATGTTTACAACAACGGCTTATAATCAAATAGTGGTTGAAATCCAAGAAATATTTCTCGATAAGCCAATTGATAGGGATAAAGTGAAAAATCATGTAATATATATGAAGTCAAAATGGGCAGCTTGTTATGACTTGTTTAAGAATGCGGGCAACGACTTTGCTTGGAACCGAAACACTAATATGTGGAGTGCGGAACCAGAATTAGGGGATCGACTAATTCAGGTAATGAAAAAAAATTAATGCTGAGAATACATCATGATTACTTAACTATGATATTGTCATTTCTAGTTCATATTTAATGCTGAATGCTATCAGGATACACCTACTGTTGTTGCAAATTGATCATAGTAGAGATATCAGTTTTGAAATAACTCTATTTTTAGTGTATCGGACCTAACCAAAACTCAAAAAACAGTGTTTCAGTCAGGCTGAAACACTGAAAAGAGAGAGTTTGCCATAAGGGAAGTCAGCTGGCGGATAGAAAAACTTATCTTTTTGATCATGGACTTTAAGCTTGTATTGAGGAGCTACCCTTCAAATTCTCCAGTCAATAAAAGTCCAAAGGCAAAGGTGACAAGGATTTCTGTGTGGTACCTCTTAACGGAATATACACTCATATGCCAAAAATTTATCTTTGAACACAGTCCACGCTTGATAGTATATATCTCCAACTTTTTCCTTTTTGTATTAACTGAATAAAAGTGCAAGTTCTCTGAATTGTTTTGATTCTATTCCCTGTATGTGCAAATGTCCTCATAATTTATTGCTTGATGTGTCCTCATAATTTATTACTTGATGTTGAGTGTGTTGATGCTCTTGCCTGATTTTCTTTTCCATGAATGCAATCTCAACAATATTTGTGCCTAACAAGAGGTTTTAATGTTAATATACATGGAAATATACAAGATGGGAGTTTCAGTCAGGCTGAAACACTGAAAGTTGAAACTCAACTTTCAGTGTTTCAGCCTGACTGAAACTCAAAAAACAGTGTTTCAGTCAGGCTGAAACACTGAAAAGAGAGTTTCAGCACTATTTTCAGTGTTTCAACCTGAATGAAACTCAAAAAATAGTGTTTCAGTCATGTTGAAAACTCCAGACAGTGCCTTGACAAATTGTGATTATGCTAACATCATCCAAGCTTACCAATCATTTTATTTGGAATTTATTTTCAGGCTCATCCAGAAATTGCTGAATGGAGGACCAAGGCTATTAAAAAATTATGATAAATTACTTTTGCTTTTTGCAGCTGATAGAGCAACAGGAGAGCACGGCGAAACTGCAGCTGAGATAAGAGAGAGAAGGTGAGCTTGTACTGAAACTAATGAGGTTGAGGTTGATTTTACAATTGATAGCATTGATGAAATGGTTTCTAGGGAGGAAATTATCTTGGAGAGTTTTGATGGTAATCAAGAAGCACTTGATAAAGAAGACATTCGTGGGGCTACAACAGAGACTAGGCCAACGGCAAATTCACTAAAGAAGAGCAGGGAGTCAAAGGAGGATGCTAGTGCTGAAAAAATTTATAATGGCATAGAAAAAGTGGCTGAGGTGATGCTTGGAAGTGCTGGGATATTCAACAAGGCTCGGGAAAAGACCATAATGGAAGTGGATGATCTTTGGAGTCTCTTGGTTGAGATTGGGGTCAAAGACGAACACGTTGTATATATTCCTACTTAATTCTCCAAAGAATATAAGGGGAATACTTAAATATCCAAAGATAGGCAGAAGTAAATACTCATGAGGAAGATGCGTAGGGAATCTATGCCACCTCCGCCTCATTATTAGCTTTCTACCTACTCATCTTTAATATTTTGGTTTTTAACTTTTGCTAGATGCCTTTGAGTATTTGGTGGCAATTGTAACTTCTTGTCACTTTTTGGTTATTGTAGGGCAATTGCATACTTGTTGTTGCCGAATTATGGATGTTTATGGCAAACTTGGTTGGAACATTGGTGGCCGACTTTTGTTAAACACATGCGGCAAAATTGGTTGGAAAATTGGTGTTTCATGTTTTGATAAGATACATTGTGTTTTTTAATTAATTTATATTGTGTGTATTGTTTTGATAAGATCATGTGGTATTAATAGAAGAACAAAGCACTATCCCTTTCGTGTTTATAAATTTCATGAGCTTATGTTATATGCAAAGTTTAAAACGAATGCTGACCAATGAGGATTAAATTTGACACAGTTTTGTTTTTCTATACACTATATTTCCCTCTGCCACTTTTTTGCATATAGTTTTAGTTCATAATAGAATACAATCCTCCTAATTCAAGAATATGGGTTCTTTCCCTGCCCGTAATTCACTGTTATTTTGGCTTACTTCTCTGGTTCTGTTGTCTACAGGTTAGATTGGATCCATCAAGGTCATTAAGCAAAAGGAAGCATTGAGTTGTTGCTGAGATCCTTCGGAAGGTTAAAGTCTAAAACCCCCTGCCCTTCATAACTCCAGCTCCCATTGAGCTTGATGTTAGTTTGTTTTGAAAGGAAGTTCTTATGAGCTTGTATATTGGAAATATGTAATGCATTAATAATAATAATGATGATGATGATGATGATGATGACGACGATGGACAACCAATTTCTAAGTATGATACTTTTATTTTCTTTTTTATCATTTATTAGTTGGCAAAATGTTTTAACAACATGTAAGGTCATTTGTGTAAATATATATATATATATTCTCTTCTTTCCTTCCCTCCAATAGTACTCCCAAACAAGTTAAATTAAGTTCACATTCGTTCACCTTACTCAACTCCCAAACAACATATTACAATTCCCTTTCCTTTCTTTACCTTCCCTTTCCCTAGCTTATCTTCCCTTCCAATAAGCAGGTTTCAAGCCACAATCGACATACAAAATAGGTTTTTCCCCGTGCTACGTGTTCATCAAAATGGTCGGGTCATTCAAGGGAAATGCCTCCAACTTTGCAATCATCCACTCCTTTTCGCTGATCGCAAACTTTCATGAAGTAAAGCACTAATTATCCACCTTTTGGTTGTCAATTCTGCTCTACTGCTAATTTGCCAGTAAGGGTCAGCTATATCGTACCAAAACCTTAAATAATCAAATTTATCTTGCAAATTTTCAATGAATCAAGAGAGAGAGAGCTTTTACCCTGAGCAGATCAGTCATGGAGGAAAAATCGAAAGGGTTTGGTGGAAACCCAGAAGCAGCTGGCCTCTGCCGTCCCTGCGCAGACGATGCCTCGCTCTTCGGGCTCTTGTTCTCCGACGAGCTAGACTTATCATCTACAAACAAAACAAACAAAAGCCCTAATTTTAACTAGCAGGAGAGAGAAAACACAGATCTAAACGCCTAGCCGCTAGGGTTTCCGCTCTGAGATCACCTTGATTTCCCGAAGACATGATGAGTACCGGCGACCCCTAGTTCAACGAGTTAGCGATTCGTTGCTTTGGAATTGGGGAATTGAGTTGAGCGGGGGTTTTGGGGGTTCGGAGGGGGGATTAAGATAAAGGGATAAGAGGCGTGAGGTGAGGGCCAAATTTCATAGATCGGGTCGGATTCCCTTTCTGTTAATGGAGTTTACTCACTTCACCCGACCCCCGCGGTTCATTAAAACAGTAAATACAGTATAGGGGTCTGTTTTGGGTTGGAACGGGTTTGTGGGTGCTGCGTGGTGCGTGGGGGTTGGGGTGGTGGTGGGGTGGGGGTGGATGGGGGGGGAGTAGGCTAAGAGCCCAATACGAATGTGTTTTCATGAACCCTGCATTCTTGGTCGTAAAGAAACTCTACAACTTAGCAACCATAAAATATAGGTCATGTTATCGAAAGATGGATAGCCTGGAGATTTATCCCGTATACGTAAACATTTGATATTGAATACTTCGATGACGCGTACTACTTGGGCAATGTATGCATAGAGAATATGGATAATTACATTCAGGTACACTGAAGTATTGATGTAATTACATAGATAACCTTGGAGTTTGCATATCTACAAGGATAAGCCCAAGATTAGTGATTGCATTTATACAGGTGATCTTAGAGCCTGTTTATTTGTTTCCTTCTCAAAATTACTTGTGTAGATGCAAATCAAAGGTTACTCTTGTAAATATGCAGACTCCAGAATTACTAGCGTAATTAAAGGCACCTGAATATTATTAATTTGATAGAATACAATTTATTGAGCTCTGGAAAAAAAAAATCAATGAATGAGATATAGGAGACACTAGCCATGACCAGTGCACAATAACAGAGTATCTAACAAACGAGTTCACTACCACAACTATATCATTGTTCTCAAAGATCGAAAGTTCTGTATTTACTGTTCTTTATAGTCATTGAGGCAAATTTAAAGCAATTTGCACACTCTGCCTGCAATAATGAGTGGATACGGTATACACATATACAAACATCGTTCTCGATAAATACATTGACAGTTAACTGATAGCTAAAACCTACAACCTCTCTAGCACCAAAACTTTCTCCCTTGCAACTTCAGAACCAGCTCCATATGTCAGAAAACTCAATCACTAGGGGGTGAAACAAAGTTACGCTCGTATGGCCCTTCCTGAAAAGAAATTTCAAAAATCTCCAAAAGGAAATAGAAAGAACAAATAGCCCCAAAGGTACATAACCCTTTTAGCTGGTTTACATAACCCATTAGCTTATTCTGTGTAATCCAATGTTAAGATCAGATGATATAGACGTGAGAATTGGGACTGAACGATGCCACACAGCTTTAAAAACTCGTCTCTGGTGTGCTTGCACTGACTGCGAGGGATTCGAACCATTATATCTGATGTCAAAAATATGGATGATGGGGTCAGCTGATCCCGAAGATAAATAAAGGCCATCAGGAGACCAAGCCTGACTGATCAAGGCAGATTGAGACTCACTGCTCTGCTTCCATCCAAAAGCGTGAATCTCGGTATTTTGCCTGACTCTATAATCATACAACCGGAGCTGTTTGCCTTGTTGCCTGCAAAAAACCGAGAACTTTGAGCAGACTAAAATGCACCTATAAAAAAGACGACAGTCAATAAATAGAAGCAAATATGAATAAGACAATTAGATGGTCTTCAAGATTCACCTGTAATTCTAGTTAATTCCAGTATGTCAAAATGGCAAAAGAGAATATGAATTGAACTCTTCAAGGTCTATTTTTGGTGATAGACAACAAAAAATAGGGGGAATCACGAAAAGTTGTTCAAGTGATAGATGTAATTACCAATATACATAGTCTTAATGTTTAAAGGTTATAAAGTTTAGAAGAAAGTAAGCTGCCTTTAAAAGGTTTAGAAGAAAGTAAGCTGGCAGTATTAGGACAGATGAATGACCTTTTGAGTATCAGATACTTAACTATATTAAAAGACATCAAAAGGAAACTGTAACACTCTTTTTATATGAAACTGTCTGTGGAGGGATATCTTGGAAAGTTTGAAACAAAGAAATCTCTTTTATTTGAGAAAATGTTCCTGCAAAAGATACATATCTACTCCTCTATACAAATGGGAGAATCCAAGATTCACTGTTCATACTACAGTAAATATTAATACAGCATTATTACTGTAGCACATGGGATACTGTAGTGTTTTAAAAGAAAAATTGTTGTGCCAGAGCTGTGTCTGGACTGGAAGGTAACAGTAAAAAAAAGAGTACAGCATAAATTAAAGCAAAAGATTTACTGATAAAGTAAAACTTGATAAAAGTAAAAGAGGGTACATTTCATAAAACCCCTTATGAACTTTTAAGGGCTTTGCACAGAACTTTATAAATCAGAAATTAAAAAACCCCCTCTAAACTACTAAAAAGAATGTCATAAATGACGTTAATCTGTAGAGCAGTAACTTTGAATTATGACAAACCAAAATTTCTGAAGAAAAAAATTGAATAAAGAACATTTCTGTGGGAGAACAAGACACGAATCAGGTTCGCTTTTAGACTTTTAACTGAACATGTTATTGCTGTCTACGAGATTTTCCAATATTTCAGGGGTCTTTAGTACAATTTTGAAAGTTCATGTGACTCCTTTAATTTATGAAGTCCCGGTGGATTGTGCAAGATGCCCCAAAGTTCATGGGGGTTTTGTGAAATTTACCAGAAAAAATTGCATGAGTTTTAGAAAGAGAAACTATTGTGTTCTTACATTGGCCAGAAAGCTCAGTCACTTACCCTGTTTGCACCATGAACATATTGAAATCCGACGGGTTTGGTAGCACACTCATGCATTTGGTATCAATCTGATGTTTGAATTCAGCTGTTTCAGCCAACAAGTCAAACCCAACAATCCTTTTATCTGCACCAACAGACAATATAACCTTGTTTCGCTGCAATCCAGCGACTCCCATAACTGCAGAAGAATGCTGGTTTCTATGTAAGGTCTTTGGTTTCCATGAATTTTCCTTCTCATTCCAAAGTATTACTGCATGATCGCACCCACCAGTAGCAAAGCATAGATCTACCCATGGCATGAAAGTTATACTATTGATAATACCCTTGAGATGAGGCTTTTCTTCCAAGAAAACAACTTTTTTCTGTTCACACGAAACCATATGGAGGAAATAGGTTAAGGGAATATTTGAGTAAAGATGAATTGTGCAAGCATTCTGCATGTGCAAGTGCAAGTGAGAGAAGTTTGAATTAGCTAACTGGTGAAGTTTGTCTCCTTCAAAAGTAAGATTGAGATAATGCTGAAAGAACGAGAGGGGGAAATTTTATAAAAAAACTTCTGTATCTTTAAACTAAGGATAGCAATTGGTTTCCAATTTTTATGGACCTGTTAGCTAAATGAAAGTGTAAATTCATAGCCTCATAGGACCACTGATATATAAGGGTATAGCAAAGATACAGTTTTGCTTTTAGTTTTCTTTTGGGTTTTTTTCTTTGGGCAGGGATTTTTTGGTTGATATTTTTTTTTTTTTTTTTTTATTTTTATTTTTTTTTTTTTTTTTAATTTTTTTTTTGGGGGGACCGGGGGGGGGGGGGGGGCTGCGGCGGATCTGCTAACTAGAATTTACTGATGAATAGTGAAAAGCCCTATTCAATTGTGTGGATAGTGGCAATACCAAGAGCTGTTCTCTCTTTTTGCTTGGGGCATTATAAACTCATCAATATGGGAAATATTAATAAAAGTAAAAAGAATAATGGGAACATGATGTTTTTAATAAAAGCAAGAGGAATAATTAGGAGGAAAAAAAGGTCATCTTATATACTTATATTCTTTTATCATAGTGCAATATCTTGTGCCCCTGAAAAAGGAAGACACATAAACTTCAGGTCCTCTTCTTTCTTTGTTCCTTGTTAGCGGTTGTCCGCTCCACTTGTACATTTCAACTAGCATCATTATATGTCTTTGCTTGGTGCAGAGCAAATGTTAATCAGAGAACACACTGGTCGCTTAGGTTGTCATGTGCACATGACAAAGGTTAAGGAGAACAAAATGAAAGCATCAGGTAGGGATCATAGACCGTGCAACATGATAGAAGCCCATGCTAAGGTTCTTGTTGTCTTCAAGATGATAATAAGATATGACACTATGATATGACACAATGGAAGTCTACATTAAGGACTATACTTTAGTTCAAGATGACAAACGGGTCCGTATTCTGGCACTACTAAACATTAGATGGTGAGTGATAAAGCTGAAACAGGCCTTATGTAACACAATGAGTTGAAAAGTTAGGATTTTAAGTGACATGAAGGCACTAAATGACGGTGCATTGCCTTAGGTCAGGTGTATACGGATAAGGCAAGGCAACATAATCTGACATGGACAGGGCTATTGGCAATCTTGAAAAAATTAAAGAAATAAGACGTCAAATATACATATTCTGACTCGAACCTTTTATTCACATGGACACAAACTGCATGACCAGCAAAATGTCCTCCTAGTCAATAGGGCTACCTTCTTTTCGAAGCCCCTCACTTTAAACAGTTAGCCTGGATGGGAATTTCACACCAAATGAAGGTTTGAGTTTAGGTAAATGACCAGTTAAAAAATTCTTATAAATATTTCATGGAGCCTCTTGCGTCATACTCAACTCCATTTTGATGGGAATAGGATCAAATTGTAACGATGACAATGATCTATATACTGTTTTCCCTCTGAGCCATTTACATTCATAAAAATATGAAATAAAAAGAGTTAATAAAACTTTATTATGAAAATCTGGCTCACATATGTTTAGTCTATGAAGCACGGATACTCCCCCAGAGGCCACGAATCCGTGTCTGACACGAATCAGACACGGATTCGTGCACGACACGTGCAAGACACGTGTCGGACACGGTCAATCCGTGTCCGACACGGGTCAACGGTCAAACCAAGGGGGGACACGGTCAAGGACGGCTGGACACGGCTTGGATTCGCGGAACAAAAAAAAACGCCAAAGACAACCCGAAACCCAAACCCAAAAGGCCAAAACTAAACCCTAATGTTCACTTACCTCAGTCCCGCCGCTCTCTCACTCATCTTCATCCATCGATCTCTTCTATCGGATCCCGTGCTCGTCCTCGCCTTCCTCGCCCTCGCCGAGATTAGATCTCGTGCTCCACCCGTCGCTCGTCCTGTCGCTGCTCTCGTGCTCCTCGGATATCGGCTCCACCCGTCCTCTTCTCCACCCATCGTTTTTCTTTTTTTTATAGTTCTTTTTGGAACTTTAGCAGTCCCGATCTCTGTTTTTAACCCCACTGTCGTTTGCTCTCCTTTATTTCTCTCTCTTTGAATAGTCTCTTGACTAACTCGTTTTTCTAGGGTTACTAAATACTTTTACGGCATAGTAGCCCATATTTTTAGGCTATTAATACTTTACTGTGATACTAATTCATTTTTAGGGTTATTAAATATTCTTATAGCTATTGCTCTAATTTAATAATGCATATTTTGACTAGTACTCATCTTCCTAGGTACATCACTTATTTCTACGGCTATATTTTAAACTTCAATACTGTAGGCTCATATTCTGGAAGACAGTAATGACTTTACCAGCTATCTTTTCTAACTTCACTAGTGCATGCGTCTGCCCAACTTGTTAGAAGACTACTTTTTAACCATCCTTAATAGTTAATACACTGGTGCCTTAATTTCTTATAAAATATTCAGTTACTTTTTATTAGAGTTTAGAAGTGAGAAATGACAACTTATATATATGTTTGAATAATTGAATCAGACGACCAGATGATTTAAGGCCTGAGCACCTACAAGAAAGTTAGGGCTGACGAGAAAATAAAAGGACATTTAGTTCAATTTTCCATGTGAATTTGCAAGTCACCCGAGCTATATGTAGATTTTTATGATAATGTTGACCACCTTAAATTACCACTTAGCAATGACTTCTCCGTCAAAAAAGAAGAATCTCTTATATCAAATCCAAAACTAATGCTGATGAAATAGAAAACTTGTAAAACATTTCTTACATCTCCTGAATGCTTCAGATTCAAAATTGATATCTGAGAATCGCCACCATCAGCACTGTACACAGCAAATAGGCTATCTCCATCAGGGTGCCATGTAATATCTTCAGGCCATCTCCTTTGCTTTAGGGACATACAATCAGTTGTGCTTAATAATGATGCGCTATGCCTGTATTTAGCAAATATTAATTTAGAAACAAATCAAGTTAAGCTCCGTAAGCCAGTGAAGTTATGCATCATAAGTCAATCAAGAAGACAAAAAGGTTTGGAGGATAACTACCAAAAAGTTACTTAACAAGCAAGCAAGCCCAGTAAATTGCACTCCTTTCTCTTAAGCTTTTTAGGCTGTCATCTATGAACAAACGTTACAAGTTAGATCCTTGTCTTTTTTCTCTTTGCTTTCTGCTATCTAATAATCATTCGGTTAGCAGTTTCTTCTGCTACTCTCTTTGTTCTTGATCATAGGGTACATAATAATTTAAGCTGAAATCATAATGATTTCATCAACAAAATATTTAGATATGTGTTTCCATAAGAATGGCATATAACTAGGTAACATGCTTCTTCCAAATTGTCCCCACCTACTCCTAATCCCCATAGTTACTCCAGATTCCCAGAATAATCATTCCACATTACACCAAATAAAAGACAGGTGCAGAACCTGTAAAATTTTTGCATTATGACTCGAGAAAAACTGCTTTAATAATGTAATTTGGTATTCCCAATGAAACCACAAAATATATTGTCAAGGATTGAAAAGAATACCCTTCAGACTGCAGTTCCCACAAGTTCACAACTCCATCCAAAGCACTGCAAAATCATATATGGAAACAAACAAATTAGACCCAGAGCAAAACACCACAGTTACTGATTTGCAAAACAATTCCTGTTATGTTTTTTCTGAAGAAAATTCAAAAAAGAGTGAAATGTTGAATACACAAGCTCATAAATCTAATAATGACAGTAGAGTATACTACAAGTAGAACTAGAAATAAAGTAATCATTGCATTGTGACTTTCCGCATCCACGAGATTACTCCAGCCAGAAACAGTGGAAAGTGTTTTTCAATGTAACTTTTATCATAGCGAAAAATAACGAGGCACTAAGCACATGTAAGAATTGAAGATATTGCTCCATAATTTTCTAAATATTCTAGCCGAATAATTTAAAGAACTTTTAAGTTTTTACTTTCATACTAATTAGAAGTTAGAACCGCATATGAGAATGAAGTTGATATAAATGATGGCATTTCTCAATTTTCTAACGAACTAATTCAAATGGTTTCAAAATTTAAGAGTTCATTAATAATTCTTTGAACTAAATAGCATTAGTACTTGACCATTCCAGTGCAAATGAGAAAAGAACATTTGTTATTTCTCCCTCTATATATTTGCACTTTTACCAATTGTTTGCAAAAGGAAAAACCTCAAATGAAACCACATTAGTTTCTCATCAAGTTTCTAAATCCCTTTATAATCTTTTTGTAATCACCTTTTTCTAATAGGTATATTTGGAATAATTTTATCCAAACATAGTGACACGGTCGGTTTTCATGACCTTACATAACCAGTCCATTTATCAAGTGAGCCAATATTTACAGTTCCCTTACTCAAGTAATAATTCATCATAACCGCATGTGTTGCACCTCTCAACCACTATCAACGAAAGGACCTGCTTCTAACCCAAGCTACAAAACTAGATAGCAAATCTACAGAATATTATATGTAGGATTTAAGTAAGTGGTTAACAGCTTCACTTCTCAACTGGCAGTACTACACCATGATATCATATCAATTCATAAATGTTGTATTATCCACAAAATTTATGCATATAATTTCTGAAAATATTAAGTTTTTCTCCTTAGTTCTTGCTTACTTCAAGGGCATTTCTCAACTGGCAGTACTACACCATGACATCATATCAATTCATAAACGTTTCATTATCCTCAAAATTCATGCATATAATTTCTTATTAAGTTTTTCTCCTTAGGTTTTGCTTACTTCAAGGGCATTTCTCACTTTCAGCTGAGCTTGAACATAATACTGCATATTGATATGCTCTAGAATTTTGGCACCCAGAGATTACTACTTTCAAAATCTTGCAGATTGCTGATCTTTGCCATGCCATTGAGCTAACAATGGGTCTAAATGTCCAGTAATTTCAAATATGTTTAAAGAATCTATCTTGCCTCTGATCGTGCATGAGCCATGATATTCCAATTTATTGTGATTACCAATAGTACAAGCAACAAAGTGCCCCAAAACGAATGCAACCAGATCTTAGAAACGTCAAAATAGAGTACTTCATTTTTTCCAATGCAGCAGCATAGTGAACATGTGCTGCCTACTGGTTCTTCCTCCATCCTTCCTCTGTCTTCCTTTCTTTCAATTGTGGTTCTTACTCTTAATCTTGTTTCGATCTAAATTTTGCGATCTATAAATGTCACACTGAGTTACATGTCATTTAATTTCTAGATGAATGAAATTTGTGCAGTCTGTTACGAAAATTTATAACCGATTGGGTACACCTAATTTTAAAAAAAAATATCTTCACTATGAAAAAGTGCATGGGTTGAAAAGTTATTACAAGCATCGACATTTTAGACACAATGTCAGTATTAGTGATCGCTTTGCAGGCTCGTATATTGACACATACAAAACTTCAAATCTAATAACAATAGTTTTGAGAGGTATGTAGCAACTTTATCTATGCTTATATTATGTGGCTTAATAGTTTGATGACGTTTACATTTCTAATCATAACACTTCAAAAATCCTGGTCTTATTAGGCCCCCACTTCCTGATAGAACCTCATATTTGACTCGATCATCAGATTATAAGTTCAATCAATACTGGACCAGACCGGAATATGGTTGCATGGTGTATGGGCTTGGTAAGTTTCACAAATAATGCCTACCAATACCTTAGTTTTGCTCTTAAAAATAGTTCGTAGAACGGAGCGCCCAATATAAGTCATGCATAATTGCCTTATGAGTCTCATCTTATCTCATTGAATATTGCGCTACACTACGCAGTCGGAATATTCTACTCTATATGTATTTCCGTGAAGGATAAACTCTTGGAACCTAATCCAAATGACCTGATAACAGGAAAGCCTACCATCATAACCATCTCTTCATTCAAAACCCACTTCAACAAGTCAATGTCATTTACTGATTCCTAATGCAGATTCTCTGGATCTTTGATTGTCTAATCAACTAACAACACATGTTTATGCAAAGTAAAGGGTAAATAATTGACACGGAAGACGTCTATAGTTACTTGAGTTTTGTGCGTCATGCAAAATTGATAAAAGTTCTGGTAATAGAAAGAACAATTCAGGCATTTTTCTGACACGATTCAATTCCCTTATAGTCTAGTCCATCAAGGAGCAATAAATGCTTAATCTAACACCCAATAATTCACACTTCCACTTCAAACATGAATATTGGGCCTTTAGACATCAGCTTGCCTAAAAACAAAGTATTATCCACATTACAAATATCCCTAACTTCCAACCTTAGGAGTCCAGGAACTCATACAAAAACGCTTCTGTTCTCAATAGAGGTATGGTTCATGTGGAAGATGTCTTTAGGAGAGAAAAAGACAACGATGTCTAAATAAGGAATTGTGAGAACATCTAGGTTCTCCAATAGTCAGTAGTTGCGTCTGCATTCATAGTGAAGGAAGGTGAGAACATGTTTTCCCTTTAACAAAGTATGTAGCCTAGCTTTACGCTAATACGATCCAAAACATATACAACCAAGAGTTATCCTAGAATATTTCTCCAATATGTAAATGATCATCATTCAAATCATCATTTTTGGGATGATGATAGCAGAAAGTAGAGACATTTATTTATAGTAAGTAACATGAAATTCATTATTATCAGAGCAAAAAGTAAATCATTTACGTATTCTAAAATACCTTGTGACAAACATTTGGTCATTGACAGGACTCGGAGCAAGACATCTCAGCTTCCTCTTATGCTGGCTTGAAATGTGTGTGCTGCCCTGGAAGCTAATTGTGCACGGGGATGAGCAGCTGCATACACTAGGGATCAACAACTGGTGCTCTCTCTTCTCTGTAACCCAAGCACACCAAGAATCAAATAAAATAAGAAGACTTAGGGTGTGTTTGGTAATCAAAGCGATTTTATTGTAGTATTTTTGTAAAAAACACCATGTCATGGTGTTTTTTTCAAACATGTTTTGAAAACATCATTTATAGTTATTATTTATATAGCGGCGACGGCCGGCCGACGGGCGGCAGCGACGGGCGATCGGTGGCGGGACGACGGGCGGCGGCGGATGACGGGCCGGCGACCGGCTGGCCAACCGGCAGCGACCGGCGGGCGAACGACGGGGTGAGGCGGCGGCCGGCGGGGTGGCAGTGGGGTGGCGGCGCGCCGCAAGCGGGTGGGCGGAGGGTGGCGGGCGGCCGACGGGCAACGAGGCGATGGCGGCGGCCACGGCCGGCGAAGTCGGGCGGGCCTGTGGGCGGCGACGGCTTAGATGAAAAAACGAAATCTCAAAACACATTTTTGGTGTTTTAAAAAAAATATTTATTTTTTGGATTTTGTAAAGGGTCAAGTCAAAAAATCGCCCCGGTTGCCAAACGCGTTTCATTGTTTTTTTTTAAAATAAAAATGACAAAAACGTCACGGTTGCCAAACGCTCCCTTAATATTTCCCAAAACAAGTTCAATTTTAAAGATTGAGTTTGATGTGGTTCATTGAATCAAATCAAGATGATTATAGTGTGTGTTTTGAATTGCTAACATACTACATGACCAATAGCATGAGTCACAGAAATCAGAAATATTACGATGAACTAGCGGACATACTCTAAGAAATAAGACAAAAAATGAGTGCATTCATCAAAGAGGTGGCTACTATTGAGGATACAATGAGAGAGTTTCATTTGAGATGGTTTGTTCTTGTGCAACAAGAGGCCATTAAATACACTAATTTGATAGGTGATAAAATTAAAATTTATACTATACCACTAAAACAATAACATAGTTATCACTTGGCATCTTATTTGAGATGGCTTGCTCTTGTGCAACAAGAGGCCATTAAATACACTAATTGGATAGGTGATAAAATTAAAATTTATTAACATAGTTATCACTTGGCATCTTATTAGAGTTGATACTTGACATCTTCTTAGAGAAATATTAGGTCATATTAGTAAAAGGGTAAATTACACTAAACCCCTAAGGACTTTCAGCATTTTGGAGCAAACCCCCAATAACTTTCAAAAACGCACTGAACCCTCAATAATGTTTGCAGAAACCCCCACTATCTTTTGGGTAAATTACACTAAACTCCCAATACCTTACAAAATGCTTTTTTAATGTTGTGTTTTGGTTTTAATTTATGGAGGTTATCCGCAACATGCGGAAACTCATTGGGGGCTTTCTACAATTTCAAAAAGTTATTGAGGGTTTAGTGCTATTTTGAAAGTTGTTGGGGGTTTACTGCAAACTGCTAAAATTTCTTGGGGGTTTAATGTAATTTATCCTTAGTAAAATACTATATACATTAATAGTATATAAAACTAACTCAGTAAAATGAATTATTCAAATTTCTCAACCATGGTTCATAACCCCTGATTACATACATTATGCATAACCTCCAAATCAATACCCCCAATTACATACAGTACGCATAACCCCCAAATAAATTCCCTCATGACTTAAATTGATTATAGTATTATAACCATTAATCCCCATTCAAACCCATTCAAATGTCCTAACTCATAACCCATTTCTCTATTATATAATTTATTAGATGCAACATATATATATATATATATACAGAGTAAAATTATGAAAATAGCTTTGAGAGGTAAAAAGACAATTTAGAATACTCAGATGAATAATGTAATTACAATATAATACTGTATACTTTATGTTATAAATATAAATTATACTCTTATAAACTCTGTTTTTCCCCTCTCCTAAAAAAGATATTCTACACATAGAAATAGAAATTTGTATTCAATTCAGAATGAATGTACTTTAATTGGTGCAAAAAGTTCATGAACCCATTAATTTGTCAATGTACAAGAAATACTCAATTTTATGAGAAAATGACCTGGTCTTCTTCATTTTTTATTCATCCATTC